TGTATTACAGATTGACTGCGGATCATAACAGCTACAGTTTCGTACATGTGTACCAGTTCATACGTACAGATGTAATCTGGACCAGCAAACGCGAGGGGAAAAAAAAAAAGATGTATCGACATATCACAATGTACGGACTCGTATACTTGTGATTGACGCGCTTAACGGTACGTAAGCGACGATATCGATCTGGAGTACGTATATATTGGTAGTCACACGCTGAGAGAGAGAGAGAGTCGAAGCAACGACCCGACAAACGTACATGTACATACGGGCGTGAGATTAAGTTATCATCAAAGCCATTTATGAATACGTAATGCGGTGCCCCGGAAAGGTGGATGTCCTTGAGACGTATATGTTTCACTTGGTACATCATAACATATACTGTTACGGCATATATTTATTATTGAAGAACATCAATGTATCTCACATATGTATACGTCTTGTATACAATCACGTTGACGATGATGATCTATGACACATGCTATTCGTTTTTTTTTTTTTTTTACCTTAAAAAGATACAACCTCCGCAACTAACCGTACCATATTATTGACGAACGAACGAGTTATACGACCCATGAATCAACGGGCGGTATACACACGTAAATTGGAAAGAAAAAAAAAAAAAAAATGTCAAAACAGAGATTTCAGGCGTCACTCGTGTATAAATATGTTACGTGACTCATTTTCTCGGCCGCGGTGTTTATACCCGGCGGCTCGTCTTAATACCCGTGCCTAATGCGCGTACGACAGTTATCGCGAATAAAACCAAATTAGGTGAATATGGTCGTATATTACGGCCCGAATCACACGCGCAGCGGGAGGTGGAAAAACAAGCCTAATGATATATGTGTAACATGGGTAGACGCGTACAAAAAAATGTAAACGATAAAACCTATGGGTGTATAAAAAAAAAAAAAAGAGAGACATCGTATAACGGTCCTGACTTTGCGTCAGTGATGCTACGTACGGGAGGTCAATTTTTTTGCTTCCCGCATACATACGGCAAGAGCGATTTTCTCACACAAACGAGCGTGGCGAATTCCATTCATTCGAAAGGAAAGAACAAGTGCGATGAGAAATACAAGAGGATGAAGAGGGAATAAAGAAAAAAAACTCGCGTCATTGGGTGCGAAAATTCGAGCACACGAAAGCACGGGAGGGGCGAGTCGAAGGAAAATTTGCCAAAGCCTACCTTAAAGCTGACGCTCCTTCGGCTCGTCGAGTGAGATATATGCCCCGATAGGGCTTCAAAGAGGCAGCGCCCGGCTCTTCTTCCTCGCGTCATTGCCTATATATACCTACGTATCCCACATGACTAGACACATAAAGGACGAGAAGAAGAAATTAGCAGCGACCGAGTGGAGAAAGGAGGAGGAGGAGAAAAAATTTGGTCCATCCTTCCCCATACGTGTGGAGCCGTTTTGAGCGTGTAATGTGCAAAAGAAACCCGTTCCCGAACGCGTTTCTTTACCTTCCTTTTTTCGTTCTTTCTTTTCGTGGTATATATATACGTGTAGTATAACATCTCGGATTCCCACACGCCCGCGTCGCCCGTTGGCTGGCTCTGCACGAGTATCGATTCACCATCAGGCGGGAGATGCTGCACGGGAGTGTGACTCACCGCCTTGGGTCCGCACACGACGCGGCTACGCGTCTTTGGGTGTATATGTGTGTTTTTCGTTCTTACTTACACGCACAAGGATATATATATATATATATATATATATACAAGGCGTCCATCAACAGGTAGGTATCGACGCGTATATGCATTTATACGCACGTGGATGGAGGAGCATGCGTGCGTGCAGCTATGTAGANACTTATAGGCCCGAAACCGAAAGTGAATTTCGTCTTTCCGCACAATATCTTTCTCCTCCTCCGCACAGGTATATATATATATATATATATATATACAAGGCGTTTCGGCTGGTATACACGAGAAAGGGGCGCCGTTTGAGGTGTATTATCTGCGATTGACGGCCGATTCGAGCTTTGGGGAGTTCCACGTACACCAGCTGCGCGCTGGTTTTTGATGCTCGGAAGGATTCGACTCGTATATTATATATGTGGGAATACTATACAGCTGTGGGAGATGCGACGAGCAGTATTTACTTGCTTACCCCGGCGAGGAAGTGATCCATCCTCCTTTTTGCGCGATGCGCGCATTGGTTTTGGAATTAAGTATGGAGACTTTTTTTTTCGAGACAAGTGTACCTTGTGCTGATTTTTTTTTTTTTTTTTTTTTTTTGGAAAAGAAAAAGAAAAAATTGAGGTGCTTTGCCCCAATCACTCACTCCCTCTGATTTTTTAAATAATTTTACTTTTCATTTTTTCTTGGGTTAAAGAGGAAAATAAGTTTCAAGTTTAATGTTAGTATGTACATATGGTTTAAAATAATCTTAGTATTTTATATCTATGTTCGACTCTAAGCTTCAATATGTCCCTACATGCGAAGCTCTTTAGTTCAACCATCAATGCTTACATCATTTTCCTTTTAGTTTATAATCCCACCTTTTACGAGTGTTAAAACACTTCACTTTACGTCTGAATTCCTTACTTTATGCATTTTATGCTTTTCTTTTGTTCCTATATATTTTGGAAATTTTTTAAATCCTTGATGCCCTTCGCTTCCTGTCTCTCTATATCTTTTTCCGTGACGTGTTTGTAGAACCACTATTAACCATTTCTGATATTTTTAATTTTCCGCAGATTGGTTTTTAACCTTTCCTCGATTTGTTCCCCAAGTTTCCATCGCTTCGAAGTTTCCATTTCTACATCGAAGTATTTTGTTCTTATCTCGAGATTTATGATTCTTTGAGTCTCCGTTTTTGTTTCTTCCTTTGACCATTTGTAACTGCAGTGAATTGCAGTCTTAGCCGAGAAAATTTCATTTTCAATACTTGTTATGTTTACAATAATTCCTTCGTCACATCTGTTTCAGTCACGCTATCTTTACATGCTCATGTAATAACTTCTTTATGTTCGGTCAAAGTGCCTATGTCTCTGTAGTGGCCCTACATCTTTATTACATCAGTCAAAGGGTGTCATCCCTACCTCATTATCCGTGTCCGTAATTAAAGTATTTTCAACTCTGGGGATATGTCGCTATTTCAAAGTTATTCTCTTACCTATGCTTTCCTCTCATAACTATGTCCTTATATGAGCCCTATACGTATCCTGTCCTTAAAGAGTGTCGTCCTGTTTGAAAAAATTTACCGAGTCTACACTTAAATAAACAAACCCATGTATCGCTGCTCGAGTTTTCTGCCCGTCATTGGTACAACACATATCATCGTAACGTGAGCTTTCTATCTTATTACCAACACAAGATTTTTTACAGCGTATTAATGAACTACATGGAAGTACCTTGCTACGCCTATTAACGACTTCGAAATCATAATTGCCGCTAAAGAATCAGACTCGACTCTTTAATGTTCATTAGTCGTATAAATTCTCGGACAATAAGCTCGAAAGGATCCTCAGTAAGTTTTATAAATAAAATCGGTAAATCCCCGCGCTGCGTGTGCGCAGTACCGATATTACGAAACATACACGCTCCGCGCTAAACTTACGCCGATCTTTCACCTTCCCAGGAATCTCTCGGAACGCCGAAGACGTAATCACGCGGGTATTGCCCGAAAGAGAGAAAAGTAAGCATTACGTGGGTTCGACTTGCGGTAACCTTGCCGGTTGAACCCGTCGTTCTTCAGAATATGCGTGCGTCAACGAGGGAAAGCTTTTTCCGTGCGTAACTTGGACTTTTTTTTTTTTTTTTTTTTTTTTTTTCGTTGATGAATGATTTATTTGTTTATTTTGAAGAGTCATGTTTTCAATCAACTTGCGGAAAATGGAAAAATGCGCGATCAAAAGAACACGTAGTCCTCTCTAAAAGCTACAATTCCGGTATTATCCGAAATTAAGCTTTGAAATGACGTAAATATACTTTGGGCGGTTTTTGTTTCGATATTTACTGAGCCCTCGGTAGAAAAATCATAGTTTTTGCACGCGCATTCAATGAAGGCAAGGACATGGAGTCCCTCGGGCCTGGCTTAATGAGCACCACCACCAAAACCACTTGAGGACCAGCTTTTCCTGCGTTTCGAAGATCACGAGAGGATATCCCCATAGCTCAGCAAAACGTGTACCATATAGCCTTGTGCCGGACAGCACCGCGACAGCAGCACCTACCAGAGAAAGAGAGAGAGAGAGAGCAGCTGGACCAAAGAACTATACAAAACACACCGATATCGCGTTGAAACTCCGCGGCCGCGTAGGCGCATGCGTGATCCTCCTCCCTTTGTAGGATATACAGCATCCTCTCCTCTCCCGAGAACCGCGAGGACTCATCTCCAGCGGCAGCACCGCACGACACGGCTGTACCTACCTATATACATAGATTCTCGTCCTTTTTGCATCGCTCTCTCCTCTCGTCCTCTTCTTCTTCCACGTATATGGATACTCCGGCCGGCGCGGCGGGCGTCGCGACGCCGGCTCTCCCCTCTCTCTGGCAACCTCCGCGCAGGACATCGCACTCCTGTACAGAGGAAGGATGCGCGCACCCGCGGAAGAGAGAAGGGGGAGCCGCGAGAGCGAGATGGCCAGCTCGGAGCGCATCTCCCGCGTGATGGGTATATATGTATGTACGTATGTATGTATACGTGTGCCGGCAGCGCACAAACACATGAAAACTCGGGAGCACTGGGGGGCCGGCGGTGGCTGCCAATGGGCGAGGAGAGTAGCTCGGGAGAGGGGCCGGAGCTCGCGGAGAAGCGCCGAGAGAGCCGCCGGCAGGCCGGCGCAAGGTATTTAAGGTACCGTGGCCCGGCGGCGCACGAGTAGTTGACTTGCACGCGGCGCACCGGCTCGACAATAGCCCCCGCTGCTGCTGGTTCTGCTGCTGCCGCCACCTTTTCAACGAGGGCTGCAGCAAAGGCGCGATACATACACACATGTATGAACATTGCTTGTTTTTTTTTTTTTTTTTTTTAAACAAAACAAAGGAATAAAAAGAATATTTGGAGTTGTGCGACGCGCGCGCGGACAGTACGGACAAGCGAATAACTGACGAGCGGTCGATTAAAAGCGCGATTGTTATAATCAATAAAGGAAAAAAAGGGTGAACAAAAGTGCCGCAGCGAGACGGTCGTACTTTCCCCGAGTGTGCGGCTTTGCGCTCCGACGAGGACACTGTATACGTTTTCAGCCCCTCCAGATCTCTGATATCGCGAGGGTGTCGCGAATCGGCGCTCCCCGCGAGTTCGATAAGCTCCGAGGAACGGGACAAAGTTGGAAAGTTCGGCAAAAGGGTGCCGGGAGACGACGGACACGAGCCAACGCTCGGCACTTTAAAGGGGCACCATCGTAACTGAGATTGAAAAAGTGCCAGAGACTTACTTTGCAAAAGTACGAGGAGAGAGAGAGAGAGAGAGAGAGCAAACAGGTGCTCCACACTGCCGGCGCAGTGCGTTCCATCATCATCCACCACGAGCGTTCAGGGGATATAAGGTGAGTCGACTGTTTTTTTTTTTGCTACTCCATCCATTATTTCGGGGACATTCAATCGAGAAAAGAGGGTCCGATCCACTTGATTTACAGGGAAAATAAGAAAAAGACTACGGTGGTTAGGGGGTGGGACAACGTATATCACCAAATTTATTGGTATTCATCGATCGAGCAGCTATATACTATCATCGATAAAATTGTTCGAACGATCGTTTATTTCCACCGCTGAGGGGGTTAAAATAATCATGGCATGGGCCGGTTACACCGATCCTGACGAGACGTGTACTAATATAAATGAAGAGCCTTACACTCGTACAGGTGGAAGAGAAGGAGAGGAAAAAAAGGAAAAAGAGTTGAGAACACTTGAGTGCCGGGACCGAAAACTCGAGGAATTACGTAAAAGCGTGCAGTGCCGTGACAAGCCGGGCTATTGTGTCCGCGAGGAAATTATAATCTTAATGCAAGAGGCTCTGGAATGCGAGTTGCTCGGGTTTTTTTTTTTTTTTTTTTCTTTTTACCTCCACGTTTGAGCCAAGATGCGTTTTGGGATGTAAATTTTTTTTTCCCCTTCTCTCTCTCCTCTCCTTTGGTCGGGAACGAGAGCGTTTCTCCTCGTAAGGTTTTTCCATTTGTTCCCCGCGTGCAGGAATGTAAAATTGTGCCGCGACGATTTCACGACTAGTCCAACCTCGTTAAAAAAAAAAAAAAAAAAAAAAAAGCAAGGGTGATTCTTGCCCAATTGAGCAATTCAGCCCGAGCCACTTTGAATAAATTAATCGCGCCCGCACGACCCGGACGGCTCGCCGCTGAATATGCAAACGAAGGGATCATCGAAGGAGTATCGCAAGGAGCACACCGCCCGTGGGGATGACACGGCCTCGGAGAGTCGCGCAAAAGTGCACCGTATCGGGTAATAGCAGACACGTCTGGCTGAGGGGAGAAAGAAAAATAATTGGTGGTGACGAACCATACCTCATATATTCCGCGCGCGCTCCCGATTCCTTTTGCCCATCAGGAAAAACCCCGCGCGCTCCAACCCCCGCCGTCGCTCGGCCGTACAATTCTCGCGTCCACGACTCGACAATGGCACGGCTCGGCGCGCTGTACCGTTAAGAGCGTCGTCGCGGATATACGTTTTTTTTTTTTTTTTCTTTCTTTTTTTTCTTTTCTTTTTCTCTCGGCCGTTTCGTCTATTCCGAGCTCGACTCTCGCCGCGCCTTGGCTGCATAGCCGATTGGTTTCGCGCGGCTTACGAACACACGTCGCGCTTTTCCCGCGACGTTTTCCTACACACGCGCTCCAAGCGAACCCTCGGAGGAGCCGAAAAAGAAAAAAACATACATCGTTCCAGGAATCGTCCTTTCGAGCCATCCGTCCCGGGAGGATCAATTTTCAAGCCCCTCGGGAAAAAAAGACCATCACGAATGATACAGAGGGAGGAAGAGAGATTAAAAAAAAAAAAAATAGGGAGGGAGGGAGAAAAACAAAGCAAAAGTCGGCATGCGCCCGTGGCGAATCTTCGCGCCGGTCAATTCGCATACCTGCTCCTCCGTCCCGTAGCAAAAAGCCCCGCGAGGGGTATACCCATCCTCCGAGAAAAGAGAGCGAAACCCAATACATCCGTGGCAGAGGGGCAAAAAAAGCCAAGTTCAAGTTCATTAGCTCGCGCGTGTGTGCACGGCTGTGGGAAAAGAAGAAGGGACGCGGGAGGCTCGCGAAAAGGATCGTCCTGCGGGCCCGGCCGTGTATATAATATATCCCAACAAAAAACGCATCCCTCGGCCTTGCGGCTAGCCTCTGTGTCTTTTTTTTTCCGCGCCGTGTGTGTGTTCGATTCCCTCCTCTCTCTCTGCGAACAGAAGAAGAAAAGAAGGAGAAGACAAGGGGGACCGGGTGGTTATTTTTTTCACTAAAACTCGCGGAGCATCGGCACACTTTCATGTGCGACGCAAACAGTGTACTTGCGTGGCGCATTAACGCGCGTACGGGACAAATCGGGGATAACTTCAACAAGGAGGAAAAAAAAAAAAAAAAAAAGAAAGAAGGGAGCAAGTGTCGGACACACGCCAGCGAGCTGTATATATGCGTATATTGGCTGTGGAATTCGGGCCGAGCGCTCTCTCGTAACGGGTTTTGCCTCACGAACCAATTTTACTTTTTGTGCCCGTCTAGTTTCGTACTCGGCCCCTTTTTTGGATTTTTTTTCTTTTCTTTCTTTTTTTTTTTTTTTTTTTTTTTTTTTTTTTTTTTTTTTTTTTTTTTTTTTTTTTTTACTTTGCTTTCATGCAAGCGTACCTATACGTGCTTCGCGTTAACGGTGAAAAACTCGTGCGTGCGTATACAATAAGTTCGTCTTTGGAAATAAAAAGAAAAACCTGAACGATGCTTTCCGGACCAATTGATATCGGTACTCGATACGGAAAAAAATATATACACCAACGTTACTAAATGTATCGATGCTGGTACGGGAATGCTGACTAAATTACGTGCTGTAAGTGCCATTCCGATGGCACATTGTTGCAATTTCCTTAGCCGCGGAGAACCGCGGAACAATGTTTTTCTACGAAATACCGATATCTAATTCCGTGGGTTCGGATGATTACGTATACTCGCGACGGTTATTAACCCTCGCTAGCTAAAACCAATACACCCGGTCGAGGAATTTCATTTCGCATAGACACGACAATGTACACGTTTCGCGGAATACGAAAAAAAATAGAAATAAAAAAAAATATTCAGTGCAGCACAAAGGGTCGTAAATGCATAACTCGCCAGAGGAGGAAACAATAGCCGATAAACGAAGCGCGGAAAGGGAAGCCAAGGGTAAAAACGAAAGAAATGACGGACTTTGAATAAATATACCCGAGCGGGGAGAAGGAATAACAAATTCAGCCGGCAGAACCGGAGAGGATCATTCTTCGGAGGGAAAAACAAAGACGCGCAACCCTCTACATATAGCTCTTGTGCGAAAAAAAAAAAAAAAAAAAAAAAAAAAAAAGGAAATGACGGCCCTTTTGTTATATTGGCAGTGGTGTTTTTTTTCCTTCCTCTTTATCGCCGAGCGTTTTCGCGCAGTGTGAAATTAACCTCCGCGCGAGCCGAGCAGCAGGCGATCAAAGGAAGTGCGCGCGAGAAGGGGGAATTTTTTAAAAAAGCGTCTCAAAGGTATATACACGGGGATCGAGTTAATTAACGCCAGAGAGCGAGGAAAAACCGCGCCGGGGAGTTTAACAAATGGAAAAAAAATATGTGTGGAGGGAGGGGGAGAAAATCAAAGACGACTCCTCCTTCCAACGGCAGCGCGCTCATTAGGTCCCATCTGACAATCGGCGGAGCGGAACGGGCGGTGCACACGCGCGTACATGTATACACATACGAAACGATGAATGAAAAAGAAAAAATTAAATAAAATAGAGATAGCGGCCACAGAGGCTTCAATTAAGGCACAGGTCGAGAGTCCTTTTATCATCTCGGGAGGCGCGCGATGATCTAGGCGACGGGGCTTCCTTTTTGTTGCCCCCCCCCCTCTTTCTTTTCGATGCGATTAGAGAGACGGGGAAACCGAATCGGAGATGTAGCTGCACTCGAGGGAATAATTAATGAGCACCGCTCGCTCGAGCTTGCATTTGCATTGTGCGTGAGGCACCGATAATGGGCCCGGGACGCGTGCACCTAGCGTCGGCGTCCATTGACCCATTCCCCGCGGGTCGGGGGTTTTGGGAGGAAAATACATGCTCGGTGTGATTTGTTCTGATGCAGCTAAAAAGACAAATCGGGCCTGATAGCTGCGCGTTAGTTTTTTTTGCCCTTGTACCTGTTCAAAAGAGGTCCTTTCGAGATATCCTCGTTCTTAGTCCTTTCGCGCTCGCTTTTTTCTCAACTAATAGCTTAAAGTGCGAGAAACCTGGCTTTTGCAGGTTTTTGCTTGTACAATCGGTTAAATTGATAAATATACAGAGATATGATTCTTATCTTTATAATTTTTGTATCACAATAAATCAGTCAATGATGTGACGTATACATTTTTTAAAAATATTTCCTCGTTTATCTCTTTAACATTTATCAATAATTTGTAATTTAGCAATTTAAAATATCTACTATATCGAAGCTTTATTAACTATTTATTCAGCTCTGACCCATCAAATAATTGTTTTCTTGAGCGATTAATAAAAAAAAAACAAAAAAAAAAAAAAAAAACGTTTTAAGTGCGTGACAGGATATTTCACGTCATAGCTTCTGAGCATTACTTGACACCATTGAACATTATTTTATTTGACAGGGATGGTCGATTGACGATCGATTGATTCGATTATCATGTTATTTATTATGTAATGAAAAAAACGCAAAAATTTTGATGTCACACGTGCAGTGAAAACATTCATAAAATGGCACCACTTGACAAGCTATACTTGAAACGGTACACTATAGATTATTCGACACCAAAATATCCTATTGATTGTACCGATCTATCAAAACTTGTGATCCACAGTAACAACGGATCGAGCTCCGCGAAAAATCGCCGAACCAATAGTAGACGGTAGTAGCCCACCCGTCGACCTACAAACTCCAATATTGTAGACATGCACGCGGGTGCAACTTGACGGACGGCTGTTTGTTCCAATTTTCCAGCCACTTCGCGCTACTTCGCGCAGTTTGACGATCGCGTGCCACAGCCAGTAGCTATATATACACGTACAGGTAGTGCACCCACTAGAATGCGGGCTATACCAGAACGCGATGCACAGCGTGAAAAAATCGGTAAGCCCTTTTTCGCCGTCGTAAATGCCGATCGGCGTGTTTGTGTTTTTCTGTTCGAAATATTCAATGCAAAAGATGTAGTTGCCTGCTCGCACGGTTGTTATCTCGTTGCGATCGGTTGATCAGTGACACTGTCACAGCCAATGAAATCGTGGTCAACCGATCGATCGTCTACTCGTATATTATCGACATTTAATATAATCATATGGAATAAGAAATAGACGTATAGCTTGATCAATAAGCTG